TTGGCAGCCAGTGGAGCTGCTGTAACGGGCATTATGTGATCCCTGCATCCAGCCCCAGTCAGCAATCTGGCTGCTGCATTTTGGACCTGCTGAAATTTCCTGACAATTTCCATCGGCAGTCCCACATAGAGCATGTTACAGTAATCTAACCAGGAAGTAACCAGGTCATGTATCACAGTGGCCAGATGAGATCTCTCAAGAAATGGACATGGCTGGCACACTAGTTTCAATTGTGTACATGCATTCCTGGCCACTACTGAGACCTGGGCATCCAGGCTCGGGGATGAATCCAGGAGCATCCCCCAAGCTGTGCACATGTTTTTTTCCCCAATGGGAGTGTAATCCCATCCAGTATAGGCTGCATCCCTATTCCTTGATCTTCCTTTTGACTAGCCAGAAACATCTCCATCTTGTCTTGAGTAAGTTTCAATTTATTCACCCTCATCCAGTCCATTACTGATACCAAACACAAATCTAGAGCTGAAGCAACTTCCTTGGATTTAGATGGCAGGGAGAAATATCGTCGGGTGTCATCCACATATTGGTGACACCGAGCCCCCAAATTCAGGGTAATCTCTCCCACTGGTTTCATGTAAATGTTACATAACATAGGAGACAAAACAGAGCCATGAGGGAACCCACAGGTCAGCGGCCAGGATGTCACGCATGAATCTCTCAGCACCACCTCCTGAGTGCTCTCCTCCAGGAAGGACTGGAGCCACTGTAAAATGGTGCCCCCAAGTCCCACTACAATTTCCAGAATTTTCCAGCCACTAAAGCCATGCTGTCTCTGGTTCGGACACACACTGGAGGCTTGCAAATCAGGGGCACTTTGCGTATTTTGTAGAAGTGCAGATTCAGGATGAGGTGAATCATTTCACTTCCTTTTGTCGCCCACTTTCCTGGAGGATGGGCAAAGAGGGTGAGTGGTGTATTTTTTGGGAAATGAATTCCCTGGCCTGTTCCTCACGTGCCCTGTATCACATGATGCAAGGCATTATATTACCACATTTTCTTTCCCTGAATAGTAAAATGTCTCCCAATGCGACTGGTAATTTAATGCCAATAATTCATTTCTTTGAGGCAAACCATATGCCTGCCTCCTAAACTAGTGCTTCTCAGGTGAGAAAATTGCTAGGATATTATGACAAGAAAAGTCAGGCCTGGCTGCTGAGAAGAAATAATTTAATTAACACCTTTAGGGGAAAGGGATCATAAATTGCACCTGTTCCATATTGAATGAAAACCGTGTTACCTTTGTCTGAAAGAACTAAATGGGATTTGGGGATGACTAGTGAGTTGCAGATGGCAGCTTGAGAACCTAAGGCCCTGGAATAATGGTTGTTAGCCTTCGGCTTTATTTTGGCTTTGACTCCCAGAATCCCTGAATACTGGTCCTGCTGGTGCTTTGGGAGGTGAAGCCCAAAACATCTTGGATGACCAAAGTCTGAGTACTACTGCTCTGGAGGATGGGGGAGAAGATATTATACAATGTGAGCAATAAATACATGATAGCCAAGAAAATGGTGTCTGAAGAGGCAATTCTAGAGTTTTATTTTTGTTATATGCTCCTTACATTATATACCACTGTGCAGAATAAAAACGAAATTAACTTATTTAGAAAGATTTTCTAGGGTATCAAGCTTTATCCTGGGCATGGGTACTATATTCATCCTATGTGATAACATATGGGTTGCTGAAGGCTATAACCCCCATTAGACCTATTTAAATTGATGAATGCTATGAACAGTTCAGAGGTAATGAAAAATTAGTTTCCTGTTACACAGAAGTTCTGCACCCCCAAATAAAAGCAAGGAAACAGTTTCCTGTCACATTGTTAGAAGATGGCAGAATCAAACTGAGGCATCAGATCGTGGCTTGTTTTCAAACCATTATTTAAATAATTCCAAGTTTCTCAGTTTGAGCATGTGCAGTTAGCAAACATAGTTAGTTTAAACTCTTCTCATCTGGGACATGTTGGAGAAGGGAAGAGTATGTAAACTCAAGATGTATCTTGGTATATTTGCAGTGAGAAACGATTATTTCCTGTTATATTTGAACATGATCAAGAGGCATATATACTATGCTGTACACTCACATTATGCAAGCTAATGATTATGCTGAATATGAATGATATTATCACAAGAATGCTTTTACTGTGATGGGGATGCATTCACAATATAGATTATTTCTGTGGTGATTAGTAAGGCTGAATAAATGTATGCTTACTAAATAGGCACCAGAAAAGAGCTGAACGCAGATGTTGCTTCTCAGGGGCTGTTTAAAATCTGACCCAAATGCTCTCTCATCCATCAGGAGAAACATGTGAACCTTGTGCACATAGAATCTCGAAAATCCAGAAGACGAAATTCGGAATTTGAGATCTTCGTAGACTGCGACAGCAACAGGGAACAGCTAGATGAAATCTTCCATCTGTTGAAATCCCATGTCAATGTTGTGTCTGTGAATCCAATGGACAATTCCACAGTACAGGAGGATGGTAAGGATGAAAATAAGATGACTGGTTGGAAAGCCCTGTACATTATAAAGATGTGACCCCCCCTGCCCACATTTATTAGGCTGGGTTTTAAAAACCAATCTGGTTTGCTTTTCCTCCAGAAAGGCTTCTGATTTTTCTCGTGGAAAGAAAAGACAGTAAGAAGAGCTGAAGAAAGATGTATTTCCATGATTAAACTTTTAAAACTAATTTGTACAATCTCTTTGGAATGGAGGAGTAGTGATTGGGTACCAGGAAAGTAGGCAGGGTAAACATATACTGTACTTTGGGAAATATTCAGACTTTTTAAAGAAAAAACCTCAAGCACCAAATGAAATTTTTAAAAAATGCTTTGAGTCAATTGTGGACTATTTATGACCTCCCTGAAAATGCCAATGTCCCCATCCCACATAGGACCCACGTACCAAAAGCCAGAGCATGCCACTTCCGCTTCTTGGTATTAACGGCTTGCTGAAAAATGGCATGTGGCATTTTAAAAATCTCCAAAAGTTATATTCTAATGATGATGATGATGACATGCCATCAAGTCAATTTAGACTTACAGTGACCAATTTCAGGGTTTTCTACATAAAGAATGTTCATTAGGTGGTTTATTGTTCCCTTCTTCTAGAGACACCCTGGGACTGTGCAGCTTGCCCAAGGCTACACAAGCTGGCTTTGATGGAATGCCCACTGGCGAATCCCAGCCTCTGACTCTGCAGCCAGTTTCTTCATTTGCTGAGCTATTTAGTCAGTGAAATGGTATATTACCTGGGCAAAAAAAAAATACCCCCGTCACAAAATCTAATAGATTTAACTTTCATCCCAACTTTTAAAGCACACCTTGATGGGTTGTCTCTGCTTGTGGCACTCTGTGATTTGAATTAGCATATGTGCAGGAGGCAGTTGCTGATGAGTAGGGTGTAGTGGTGGCATGTGTAGTGTAGAAGCAGCAGTAAAGATAATGGTTTAATGACTGGAGGAGCCTACCTTAGGAATCATAGTTATGCTTGATGAGGTTAGGTAGTCAGATGAAAAGGAGGGCAGAGCGTAAGCCCCTTTGACAGCTGGGTATAAGAGAGAAATTCACTCCTGCAGTTTCTTGTGCAAGCTACATCTGCAGAAATTACCTCTTCTGCACAACGATTAAAGGTGCAGGAGTCCTCCCTCTTTCGCCTCTGGCCTTGCCAGTCGTTCTGTTTCAACAAGGCCTGGAAAAAAAGGATTGTGCCGAATTTGACAATCTTGATGAAATCAGACTATTCATAACTCCCAAGACTCACTGAGAGAAGAAAAACACTTCAGCTCGAGAACTCACACTTTTGCATTTACGAGCATTTTGAGGAAGTAACGCAAAAATAAGAATGGTAAAAGTGCACACAGACATGCTATACTAAGAAAAATGTCCGTGTAAGCTGCATATTTAGATAGAGCTAATCAACTTTTTTCTTGAGTCTCCCACTTATGTGGCATCTCCATATTCAGGCTCACATTTAGAACACATGTCTTAGTTTTGCTCTTATAAAGCTTTTAAAAAAATCTCTGTTAGAGATTTTTTTGTCCTTTCCAGCCATTTCAATATTTCACACTCAATAGTATTTTAAGCCCATTGGGTTTATGAGAACCATCCTGTAGGTCGATCAGTTTCTTTGGACATGTGGTATCATGGAAGAAAATGGGATTACACTGTATAAGGTTACTGTAGTGTCTTCTCTGCACAAGTACTGTGTCTGTTGGAGAAAATGCTAAACAGGAGGCTTTCTATAAATTTAATACAAGCAATAAAATCCACCATACTGCCAAGTTATTTTTAAGAGAAGAGGAAGTGCTCTGTGTTGTGCATAAGAGAGATAGGGATATATCTCATTCTTTTGCCATAAACTTCTAGATTTCACTCGAAGCTGTCATAGCTAGCTATAAGAACCATTTCCTTTTCCCAGCCAGGATCATTTTATTAATAATGATGTGGGTTTTGCCTCTCCCCTAGTTATGGAAAATATTCCTTGGTTCCCTAAGAAGATCTCGGATTTGGATAAATGTGCAAACCGTGTTCTAATGTATGGATCTGACCTTGATGCGGACCATCCAGTGAGTAGAGTTGTATTTGTGTTTTTGTCCCACTGTTTTAAAGAGTTGATTCAACCATTTACTTACTTACGGAAACCTATCTTTGGACATCCAACACTTTAGATCTGTGCTCCACTTGGCAAAGCTTGCTACATATCCTGCTATACAGAATATTGAAGTTTCATAGAGTTGGTCTGGGGCTTAACTAAAAGTACATGCTCTGCAGATACGTTGGAGGAGGAAAACTTGGGAAGAAATGTGACCTCCTACTGCCACTGCACAAAAGGGCCAATATACCCTGTTTTGACAATAGCTGTTTTAGCCTTCGCTCCTACTTACCAAGACAGGCATATTACAGTGCTAAGCAGTGCTTACTTGAAACAAACCTGAAGCAACTCAAAATCAGGAGACGAAAGAGGCTGATAGTTGGGAGACAAATGCTCTTTGCTTCTCCTTCCTAACTTATAGTCACATTCATAAGCAAGGAGCAAGGACCAGAAAATTCCATCCCTTACTCCATGGAGGCAGATGTTTCTGGAAGACCAAAGGATATGAGACAAGGAACAACACAGTCCCTCTACTTTACTTCTCCATGATTCTCATTACTTCATTTTCAGTGGAGCTTATGCAGAGGGTCTGAAGTTTCTGGAGCAGACTCTACATCAGTAAAGTGTTGGTCCCTGCTTCTAAGTGAGAGTGTGTGTAATGCAGTTCAAAACAAGTTACTGTAATCATGCTGTGTGCATTCTATGCAAAGAATACTCCTGAAAGCTCATCTCCCTCCCCCCCCAGCTTATTTGACAGGCAGAATGAGCCCTCCCCGCACCCAATTTTGGTATACACGTGTTAATCCAAAAGACTCACCTGAGGTTTTTCTCTCCATTTCACTCTTAGGGTTTCAAAGACAATGTTTATCGCAAGAGACGGAAATACTTTGCAGACTTGGCTATGAATTACAAACAGTAAGTGTCAATGCTTGATTCCCTTGGCTGAAGGCAGAACAGCAGGCCTGGGTTATGGGTTTGTACAGACGAGAGGGCACTGGGGAACCCCGAGAGAATGTGGTTTCTTTTTGGTGGGAATATGGGATGATAGGGATCAGACAGTGCATGAGTGGGAAGGAAAAGAAGAAACTTTTGCTTCCTCCTGTTTCATTTATTGTTTTATTTTATTTGTCTTATTTACAGGTTGCCTTTCTCCCCATAAGGAGACTCAAGGCTGCTTGCAGTATTAAAAAAAAAATAGAATTAAAAACACATCAAGTTATATGATTAAACTATAACAGGGATTAAAATACATTGAATAAAAACATGTAAACTTTTAAAAACTTTCTGTTCTAAAAACTGCATTCAGGGACTCAGTCATGATTGTGAAATGACTGAAAAGGTGGATCTTCAGCTGTTGGTGGAAGAATAAAAGGGAGGGGCCAACCTGATAAAGAACAGTGACGTTCAAAATCTGCTGGAGCAGTCATTCCCAACTTTAGATCCCCATATGTTCTTAGGCTATAGCTTTCAGAAATCCTGGCCAGCAAGCTGGTGGTGAAGACTTCTGGGAGTTTTAGTCCAAGAACATCTGGGGACCCAAGGTTGCGAATCACTGTTCTGGAGAATATTGGGGGGGTTCCTCTGAAGGAAGCTTTCGAACGTTGTTTTTGGACTCCAGTTCCCTGAATCCCCTATCCATTCTGGTTGGGGGATTCTGGCAATTGTAGGCCAAAACAATAACATTTATTAGTGCAGATCGAAGCTCTTGATATATTAGGATTCATGGACTACCTCTAAAAAAATAACTCAACTGACATCAGGCTGATGTAACTGCAAACATGGTTTGCCATGGTCTCCTAGAAATCCCAACCAAGTTCCTTCCAAATTGAGAGATGCTTCTGAAATAGATAAGTGTTAATTCTCTCCCCCCCACCCCCCAGTATTTGGTAATTTAACATCAAAGCTGGCAGAGCCCAATCTCAAAGCCCATTGGCTGATTCAAATTTGCAAGCAACAGCTAGCTAAAAGTAGCAGGAAGGACCCAGAGACCTTTGGGTAGTGTGGGCAGCATATAAATAAAATAAAATAAAATAAAATAAAATAAAATAAATACATAAATATTTTCAAAGGGGAAAACATTTTTTTTAATTGTAGCAAATGTTTATGAAATTAACTGTATATTCTGATTTCCTATTATAGTGGTGACCCAATCCCAAAAGTTGAATTCACAGAGGAGGAGATCAGGACTTGGGGCACTGTATTCCGCGAGCTCAATAAGCTCTACCCAACCCATGCCTGCAGAGAATATCTTAAAAACCTACCTTTGCTAACCAAATACTGTGGGTACCGAGAAGACAACATACCCCAGTTGGAGGATGTGTCATGCTTTCTCAGAGGTAATAGTCAAATGTCTATCCAATCAGATGTCTTTGCTCAATAGAACAGGCAACCATTGAGGTAAACCACATGATCTATGAATAAAATGCTCACATTGATGTACAATAGCATGATTAGAGCCATTAAGTAAGAAATAACTGGGAAATAACAATTTCCCAATTATTTCTCAATGTCTTTTTTTTTAAAAAATCTGACATCACCAGATTTCACAGTATTACAAAATAAAAGGGTTGCCTTAAGACAGAATTGACTTCATGCCTTGTGATTATTTTATTTACAAAAGAACAAGTTGTAGTCACATCACACAATATTATGCAGAGGACACGCTTTTCTGTAGGTCCCTCCAAAACTGTAAATATCTAATCTAGTCACCTAATTGTATGAATTAAGGCAGTTTACCAAACATTCAGAAGACATGTCTGATGAGTAATGAACAAAAGTAAGCGAAGGCCACTCCATATGAAAGAGTGAGCAGTAAATAGACTCAACAGATATGCGACTTGTTCTAGATGAGTTCCGTCTCCGCAGCCTGGGTGTGGCACTGGAGCCAGGATTGCTTCCCAATTCTTAAGCAGTAGCTATGGGCAAGAGTGTTTTTTATTATTTTTTCATGTGTCACTTAAAATTGATGTGCCATTATATCTAATGATATTTAAGACAACCTGTGATCTCAGCAGTGTGGGAGGAGCTCTCCATTCCACAGTGGGGAGGTTAGGGACCCCCTTGCTTGGGCCTTAGACTGTGTTTAGCTTTCATAAAACTGCAAATATGCACTCTCAGATTAAATCTGAGTGTCGCCCCTGTTATCATATGCTTTAATCTCAAGATTTATCTGAATAATTTTAAATACATAGTATTTTATTTCTCATAAGTGCATCATGGTTCATGTTTTGGTTTTGCAGAGCGCACGGGATTCACTATCCGCCCAGTCGCTGGCTACCTGTCACCCAGAGATTTCCTGGCTGGCTTAGCATTCAGAGTATTTCACTGCACTCAATACGTTAGGCATAGCTCGGATCCCCTTTACACACCAGAACCGTAAGCAACCAATTCTGTCCCTGTTCCAACTAATATGCATTATTATCCTTTTTCGAAATAAAGTGTACATAATTTGAAACCGAGGTGTCTAATGTAAGCCTTTATAAGAACATTGTGAATATGGCCATAGTAATGTCTCATTTTGAAATATGGAAGTCATATCCAGTTTATGTCAGCACTCATGAACTGGCAGTAGCAGACAGGGAAGTGAGCTGAGTTCTTTCAGGTGTGGACTTTCAGTAGACTAGCTGTTGTAAGACTAGCTGTTTTCACTTTGGTATGACAAAGTAAAAAAAGATTAGAATCTTTCTGATCTTCTTAATACAGATATGACACACTAGCATAATTTAGGAAAAATGCATCTCCCAGAATCCCACAGGCAGCATGAATAAATTCTGGAGACAATTTGTAAGTTATGTCTTTTCAATATGGTGCTGTCAAGATGTGGTAGACTATAATTCCCCCAATTCAGTCAAACTGGTTAGGAAATTCTGGACCATTGTAGAGCCCCAGACTAGGGAGGATTGTTCTGAAAACATGTAAACTAGTTGAGTTTAGCAGGTTCATCACCCTAAAGCACTGCACCCAATACGTTAGACACAGTTCAGAACCACTATGTGAATGAAATCTATCTGAAAACATGCCCAGTTACCTACATACCAGTAAAATAAACGTGGGTCTCCTTTTGGCACAAACCCTGGATAGAAAGTAAATAAAATCAAGACCCTGGGATTTTAAAGTATACAATTCATGGATACCTGATACAGGTCAAAGACAGAGGGATTTCTATGTCTTGTAATGTACTTTTACATATTATTCTATGTCTCTGTGTGATATCATTTCCAACATGAACTGGCTAGGTGAGCATGTGTAAAAATGGTTCATGTTTTCTCAAACAGTTGACTTTCCATATGCCTATCAAATTTGTAAGTGAGCTCATGCAGTTGACAAAGCAGAAGGTAGCACAATAGAAGCTTATCTCTCTCCCCCCCACAAAAAAAGTATTGCTCTAAGGCAGGAAGACTGATACAAAAAACCTCCACAATCCCTCACCAATGACCAAGCTGGGTAGGCCTTTGCGGAGCTGAAGTTCAAAATATATATGGAGAATTAAGCATTCCCTACCCTTGGTTTAAGGGACCAAAGGATTTTTGGAGGCGTTTGCCCCCCCCTCATGCTTCACAATCCTTCTCTTAATACTGTACCTCATTTTATCAGATGAGATTGCTTTTACGAAACAACTGAAAGAATCGGACTGCTTGGGTCAATGTTGGTTTGTTCCCCCTACTTTCTAGAGATACCTGTCATGAACTTTTGGGCCATGTCCCTCTTCTAGCTGAGCCCAGTTTTGCTCAGTTCTCCCAGGAAATTGGCTTGGCATCACTTGGAGCATCTGACGAAGCTGTTCAAAAGCTGGCAACAGTAAGTAGAAGATGGTGCTCAGTGCAACTTGCTCTGTGGCAATAATATGGCAGCATACTCCATTTCCCATTCAGCGACATACATACATTTTGCATGTATACAGTAGACTTTGAGATCCTGCTGAGGATTATGTGAACCAGACAAATTAACTTATTTTAATACCATTAATTAACGGTGTCTCACTAAAACTAATGAGACCTACACACATTCTATGCTGTAATAAATGTCTGTAAGGGGTCACAAGATTTCTCTTATTTTTACCCACACAGAATCAAATAACACATAATGGTGCTTTCCAAATGTTAATTTGTCACAGCAAAAACAAGACTTGTGTCATACCTTTTAAGACATCCAAATGGCTGCTGTAACCCTGATTGTTCATTAATTAAAAAATTGTTACAGCTCTGGAGATTTCATGGACTCTGTCTAACAACAGCCAGAAGTACAACTTTGCAAAGGCTGCTCTTCTTTTTTCATTACAATTTTACTTCTATAGGGGGATTATTAGATACAGTATTATGTTTCTGACTTTGTAGAATATGGTTATCCCAATACCTGCAGCTTTGACACTTTTGAACCTTCCTTTGAGAGAAATATTCAGTAACCTCCTAGGACTGTCCACTCAAACCCAAAAGACCATGAATCCTGTTCTTAGATCCTCTGTCTCTTAGAGCAGTGGTTTCCAACCTTGGGACCCCAGATGTTCTTGAACTACAATTCTCAGAAATCCTGGCCAGCACAACTAGTTCTGTAGGCTTCTGGGAGTTTTAGTCCAAGAATATCTGGGAGAACCATTGTCTTCTTAGAACATCCAAATGTGTTGGAAAACAGCTTCACCTACATTGTTTCTGGATTTGTAACACACAAGGTGGATGAGAGGTGGCTAAAAGGGATGGATGGGGGACAGAGGGAAAAATCACCCTTCTTGCAAATGAAGTTGTGAACTAAAAAGTAGAAGATAATTTAAAATCCTGTTGTCTTCACAAAAATAACTATGAGACAGAATGACCTCTCTGTATGGAGCAAATTTCTGTTTCCCAGTGTGATCCTTTAGTGTTGTCATTACTCAATGATAAGCAAAAGTGCATGGGACTCTGGGAGGCTTTCAAGAACCTGGGAGTTTTACATTTACATTAAGTGGGTCAAAGGTAGAAGGATGTTCCTATGCACAGGGAAATCCCATGCAAAAGTGAATGTCTCTTGTTTGTTTGAAGCAAGGAAAGTGAAGTGTGTTTCATGCATTTGCTGTAAAAGCTTGAGTTTTCATGTTATTTATCATTATCAAAGGAAACATGGAAATCTTGAATATCATCATGTTACATCTCTGCTTAAAGGTCATTGTCTTCCTGAACTCACACCCTTTTCTTTCTCAGTGCTACTTTTTCACTGTGGAGTTTGGCTTATGTAAACAAGAAGGCTGGCTGAGAGCCTATGGAGCTGGTTTGCTCTCATCTATCAGTGAACTAAAGGTATGTCCTGAAGCACTAAGT